AATGACACATTGTTAGTTTATACCTGACTTTAACGCATTGAATTTTAAAACTGGATTTTATTGTTTAGATATTTAAATAACGTTTAGTAGAAATGAGAAATTTACACCATGATTTAGAGAAGACGTTAGCTAAATTGTAGTCTGGTATTGATCTAATAGCAGTTTTATACACAACAAATAATAATAACTTGTCTGTCAAATTTCATGATTATCATATTAAAACAGTCACACTAATTACTTGTCATTTAAAATCTTTATACTTTACAAATATAGCTATTAACAGTATACCAATATTGTAAAATTCAATATTATATTATTTTCCAACATTGACATCTTTTCACAAAAATTAAATTATTCGGTATTACATTCAGTATGGGGGCGTGCGAGAGATCTGCAGAGTGGATGGCAACATCAACAGCCTGAGATAACAAGACATTTGTGCTGCCCATTACATTACAAACCACAGGAGAGAGCAAATTCTCCAGCAGGATAGCGCTCCTTCTCATACTTCAGCCTCCACATCAAAGCTCCTGAAAGCAAACAAGGTCAAGGTGATCCAGGATTGGCCAGCCCGGTCATCAGACATGAACATTATTGAGCATGTCTGGGGTAAGATGAAGGAGGAGGCATTGAAGATGAATACAAAGAGTCTTGATGAACTGGGAGTCCTGCAGGAACACTTTCTTTGCCATTCCAGATGACTTTATTAATCAGTGATTGGAGTCATTGCAGAGATGTATGGATGCAGTCCTCCAAGCTCATGATGGAGTCAGACACAATATTCATTCTGTTTCCACTGCAGCAGGACTTTATATTCTATACTGGACAATATTTAGCAAAGTCAGACCTTACTGTCCTAATTAAATAATCAAAATCAAGGCATGATCTTATTTTATTTTGGCAAAATAAGTGTAATCTAGAGGCCTTTGCCTTTCATATAAGCCACTTCTGACATCAAATGATCAACTAGAAGTCAAATTTTAATCTGTTGTTCCTAAAACTTGTATAGGCGACAAGACTTTTGTCCGGTAGTGTTCATTTTACATGCATAAAATCCCTTTTACTTTAAAAAAAGCATTGCATTATATGCGGTTTCACATCTTCCGTGTAGTTTCTGACCTAATGAGGAATTGGAAACATCTGCAACAGTTCTAAATACATGCAACTACAGCATGCCGAACTGCAGTATTATCTTCATGCCAGCTTCCTATATATTCTTGTTTTGTTGTTTTTTTTTGAGCTAGCATTAGCCATTTAATTGATAAATTATAGGCTTGCACTCCTGTTTGCGATGTTTTAAGTGAAGCGGGTCAAATTGGGTTGGCAGAGCAGATATCATGCAGACATGCTTATCATTTTCCCACTGCGTGTGTAAGTCAGTGCTGTGACGGGGTGCTAATGAGTTGCGCTGGAGGTGAGCGAGGCAGTGAGATTCTGATTATCTAACTGGCGATCATGTGGAATGAGCAGCTGTGGAACGGAATGTTACAGTGGAGCTGCTCATATTGCTGAAAACACTTGCAGATTGGCAGACAGGAGGGATCCTGCGGTCCACACTGTTACAAACGTCACGTCACATCAAGTGTATGCCAGCCGACTGACTCAGCGGATTTAGCTGTCTCTGATACTGCCTGTATGTGTGTTTGTGAGAGAGAGAAAGCTAAAGTCATGATGATGACAGTGTTTATTTGCCCCAGAGGCCTGTGGGATGTTTATTAGGGCTGCACGGTATATCGTTTCAGCTTTAGTATCGCAATGTGATCATTGGGTAGTCGCATCGCAAGTAGACCTGTCACGATAAGGAATTTTTGTTGTACGATATAGAGCTGCACAGTATATTGTTTCAGCATTGATATCGCAATGTGATAATTCACAATAGACACATTGCAAGATATTTGCAATGTGTTGATTATATGCAATTAGTATTAGAATTTATCATTTGCATGTGTTTTTGATGCCTGTGATTGTGCAACGATTTTAAAATCATTCAGGTAAATTGTATCATTTGTGATTTTTAACAACGATTCATTCATTCATTTTCATTTCGTCTTAGTCCCTTTATTAATCAGGGGTCACCACAGTGGAATGAACCGCCAATTTATCCAGCATATGTTTTACGCAGCAGATGCCCTTCCAGCTGCAACCCATCACTGGGAAAAACCCATACACTTTCATTCACACACATACACTACGGTCAATTTTAGCTCACCTAATTCACCTGTACAACACATGCATATAGAGAAATGCACTACAAATAGCACAGACCACAACGGAAATGTGTCGGGAAACTTATAGATTGATTATTAGATTTTATGGTGATGCATTCCCACTGCAGAATCATCTCAATTAATCAAATTATTTGGAAATCATTATAAAATGTTGATTTTCTGTTTAAGAAAGTTGAAAAGATTTCAGGTTTTCTTTTAGGATTCTTTGAGAATATAAAAAGAACAGTGTTTACATAATTTCTAATCACATTGAAGCTTTCTTTAAAACAAAATTGCAATAATCCCATTAAACTCTGCGGACCCGGTACCGGTCATAGACTTTCGCTTTCAGATTTAAAGGGCTAGCATTGCACCAGACCCCCTTAAGTGGTTTTGTTTGAAAGTGTAGAATCTATATTTTATGCACATATGCATCACTTAGGTTTTTATTCTACTGTACAAAAGTTATTTACATTTAAAGGGCCATGAAACCCCCTCATTTCAGCAGGGTGTTTTTACACCTCTACTTTGGAAAAAGTCAGAAAAGTGGGCGTGTCCAGCTCTGTTTAGGGGGGAGTGTCGGAGGAACTAAAGTGGGATGGTGTGGGAGTGTCTATTTGTGCACGCGCGAGTTTCAGAGTCAAAATACACACCCACACAGACAGGAGAAAGTGATGGTGTTTAACCTACAGGGACATCTGTAGTCGAATTATTTGCCAAATTATTAAATGTTGGACTTTAACTGCAGTTTGGCTCTTTCATTCAGGAAATTCATTCATGCCTCTCGCGACAAACGAGATATTTGATTCAAGGAACTGCTGCAAGCGTGTATTTTTCATGCAATGCTTGATACCGCACGGCGAATGAGAGAAAAAAAAACTCCGGAAAACTTAGATGCATACGGCAGGTAGCATCAGAAAGCCGCGTGTGTTATTCCGGTCACAAAATGCGGTGCTAACATTTCTGCACTCAGTGCAATAGTTAACTTAATTCGATATGAACAAACTGAATAAACAAAGAGCACTGGTCGCTCACTTACCAAATCTGTAGAGACAGGACAATCACCAGCAACTAGAGCCGCGTCTTTATTAAGAGAATACTACAAGCGAATCCAGATTTCAGCGTTTGCAGATGAGAACAGCTCTCAGGTGAACAATAATCCTCCTTAGACACGCAAGTTATTGTTGTCGATCGTCACGTACACTGTTAATCCAGACGTGATCCAGATGAGTTCTCACAGAGAGAAAATGAAAACGAAACTTAACGGCAGCAAACTATAAAAGCAACACTTCACGCTTGTTTTGCCAACACAACGTGGCGTCTTTGTGGTGTAAACACGGTGACAATAATGAATATTAATGAAGTTGCACAATAGAGCGCGCTGATTGGTTTGAACCAAGCCTTACTCGTGCATTAATGCATCACACTGTAAGACGTAATAAGACTCACTCTGGCACAGACGTCCAGTCTGCACGCTGGAATACACGCTATTATGTCATAGCCGTGACGCAGCTTCAAAAATTCGTTTCAAACCAGAAGTACGAATTTGCTTGAAATAACGCAAAAACAACCAATTTACACTTTTTAGTGAAATATAGGTGTCCTAATAGTGTTTTTAGCAGTGTGGGACACATATATGACTGTCAACAGCTCAAAAAATGTGTTTTGGTGTTTCGTGACCCTTTAAATACACAGTATTTGAATATCCGAGCTGGGTATTTTACATTGGTTCATTTTCATATTTTTCATATGACACATGTACAAGTTATAGCTCAAATGAAAGCTCTTGCCAGTGCTCATATGGTACTATGGTTCATTTTACTGAATTATATTCACATATCAAACAGTTGTCGAATGAATCGCGGTGTTTCCATGGCGCAGAAGTGAAAACAATACATTTATGATCAATAAGCAGCCCCAGATAGCACAGACAGCTGTCATCTCTCACCTTATGCTGTGCGCTTCAGGGCTATTCTCCTCTGTTTTTGAGGTGATGTGCATAAGTAATCCTTTTATATGTCTGACGTGGTCCAAACACAGTGAATTATGTTTGATTAAACAGAAGAATAGTGAAATTTGAAAACAATGATCGATCCCTGTAGCTTGTACAGCACCTCTCATCAGTTGGAACACAATGACTTTTGCATAGATTATGGTGGAGACAATTTTCTTTTTTTTCTATGATTACAGACATTTGCAGGAACCACCTAAATTAATTACAGCACGCTAGACCACACACAACCTAAAAGGTGCACTGTTAAATTTTAGTTTATAAAAAAATACAAAAAGCGCCTCTTTTTAGGTGTTTACTATAACACAGACAACATATACAGTTATTTTAAACACTTTCAATAGTGTTTTGTAAAAATTCAAAGGGTTTTCTTTAAAATGATACCAAATGTTTGCATTTACACCTCTGCATGTGGATTTGGGAAGCTTTTAAATTTGGGTCTGCAAAATCCAGGCGGAAATCCCAAAATAGCAGCAGAGTGTAACTGGTTAACTGCAGTGTAATGATATACATATTTTTTAAAATCGATAGATCTGCGACCTCCCTTGTATTCTTCTTGGTTTGTACTTCAGTAGTCGTCTGAGAACATGTCTCTCTACGTCTGTGGGTTTGCGGTGTGCACAAGCTTGTCATGTGCCGTGAGGTTTTTAAAGTGTCTATAGGTGTAAGGTGGCAGGTGCTTATATACCTGTTTCCATGACAACCATTTCCATGCTGATGGCGAGGGTCTGTGGTTCATCTCATAACCTCAGTTTCTCTGTGTGTCTGTCTCTGTTTCTCAGTGATGTGTTGGCTCTGCCCATCTTTAAGCAGGAAGATGTGAGCGTTCCTGTGGAGTCCGACACCAAGAATCCTCCGTTTCAGTATGTGATGTGCGCCGCCACCTCACCAGCTGTTAAACTGCACGAGGAGACGCTCACCTACCTGAACCAAGGTATGTGTTTAGAGCTGGACAGCTAAAGGAACACTCCATTTCTTTTGGAAATAGGCTCATTTTACAGCTTCCTGATGCTTCCTGAATAAATCGGGCTATCTGACACTAATTGACGCGTGAACATTATGAGTTTACTTGATTCACTCGCGTGTCAAATCCACTTCATTCGTGTGTCAAATTCACTTCACAATAGACATGGACACATCATGGTGTCAGCCCGGTGACTCTAGCTTTGTTGCTAAATGGCTAACATGGATTTTATTGAGAGATTAGCTGTGTTTATGTGCTGATAAACAGCGTAGATTCATTTAGCGCAGTGTCTGAGTTCACTACATCCTTTCAGAGGTGCACCCAGCACTGAGTTCATCCACTCCTCCAGAAACTATACCTGGACGATGGGAGCTTTCAGCGGTGCTTCCGACTCAGCAGAGCATAGTTTGAACTGTTGTCCTGTGTCAGTAAAAGGATTTCCCCTCGGGACACCAACAACAGGCACTAAGTCATAATCATACCCCTATAAGAGCAAGCTCATGGTTGGTTAACGCACCGCAGGATGTCTATTCGCATCTTTGCATTGACTTAACATGTAAATCACTAGTGCTTGACGCTTCATCCACATCTGGTGTGAATGCAGCATTAGGGTTAAATCTTTTTTGAATCCATGTAGCTGATCGTTGGGTTTGGAGGGAGCATTTTTAGCTTAGCTTAGCATAAATGATTAAATCAGATTAGACCATTAGCATCTCGTTGAAAATGACCAAATGGTTTCGATATTTTCCCTTATTAAAGCTTGATTTCCTTTTAAATTGTGTCGTGAGACCAAAGGAAATTATAAGTTTAACTATTTAAACTTTAAAACTTTTTTTGAAACCAACAATTTTAACAATTTAACAAATGTAGTTAGTTTATTTTTTTATGTGTTTGTTTATAGCCGGCAGAGAGACGTTTTACTAAATAATAATTATTCTAAAACAATATTTAAAAATGTTTTATATAATTTTACATTTAAAAAATGTTTTTCCCAACATTACTTCATTCAAAATCATAACGTTACTTATAGACGTATTATAGAAATCTTGCCTATTAAATACATATTTGTAAATAAATGCTTTAGCTTGTTTTAGTTTAGTAATAAATATTATAGTAAGCAATAAAATAATAATAGGAAATATTTTAGTGCATTAAAAAGCGTGCATGAATTGGCTTGGCTAAATTGTCCGTAGTGTATGTGTGCATGTGTGGATGTTTTCCAGAGATGGGTTGCGACTGTATGCGCATCCGCTGCGTAAAAACTTGCTGGATAAGTTGGCGGTTCATTCTGCTGTGGTGACCCCGAATTAATAAAGGGACTAATCCGACAAGAAAATGAATGAATGAATGAAAAAGCTTGCATATAATACCAGCCGACAAGCCAAACGATAGTGTTTAAAATGTTTAAACAATAGTGTTTTAATTCTCATTATAAATTACAAATTAGGATAATAAGCAGTTTTTGGGTTTGCTTTGAATATTGTTACACCCCAATTTAGTTATTGAAAGTAAAGAGCACAGCACACATTTAAATAATAATGTAAATGTCACTGCTCTGGTATTTTTCAGCTTTTTTTTTTTTACTGTTAAACAGAATTAAAATGGCTTTTTTTTCCTGAGTATTTCAGGCTTTTAATATAAGTGTTAGGAGTTATTATTCACTAACACATCTTATCTCTCCTTCAGGCCAGTCTTATGAAATCCGGATGCTTGATAACAGGAAAAAAGGGGAGATGCCTGAACTCAACAAGATTGTGAAGGTGAGAGCTCATGTGGGTTTATCACTGCAGGATGTCTGGGATTTTGTGTGTTGTGAGTATTGCAGAATGGCTCAAATATATAAATATTTTACTCTGATTGCACTTTTCACAAGTGATTGCCTGTGGTGTAAAAGTATTGTTGGATTGAAAATAAAATAAAAATCAATGTGTGGAATCAACTAAGAGTATAAACAGTATACAGAAATGACAATTGTGTACGAACCTTGTTCTGATGTTTTATTGATTTTAAGGCAAAGCAAGTTTGTTTATATTGCACATTTTATACACAATGGTAATTCAAAGTGCTTAACATAAACACGAATCAAAGAAACAAGAAAATAAAAACGAATAAATGATTAAAAATAGATAAAAATCTTAACAGCAATGCACTTTGTTGACATTAGACTCCAAACATGAAGCAGATCTGATTTTCTTGTGCTGGTAGATTGAATCAGAAGGCTGCGTGTCCTGATGCTCTTGTGTTTGTGTGTGTGTGTGTTTGGTTTGGGGTGAATAAAAGAGTATAGTTAGGGTGGTTTTCCACGACCGAAGGCTTCAGTACATGGAGCACCAGCAGCTGGAGGGCTGGAAGTGGAATCGGCCTGGCGATCGCCTCCTTGATATCGGTGAGAGCCTGTTGATGAGGTTATTCTAGTTTACATGTTATCGTTTCTTCATCAGGTGTTGCACAGTGCTGCACAATATATCATTTTACTATCAACATTGCAATGTTCCAGACAGAATTATTAACCCACGTGTTCAAATTGACTACCCTCTCATTATGCTTGTGACTGTTTTTGCTCCATTGACTTCCATCGTAACCACATTTCTGATTGCAAAGCCATGACAGCATATACTCATCCTATAACGGTCTATAACGGTCTCCAGCATCCTCTAGTTATCATTAACGCTTTAGATAGGCTTTTAAAAAACTTTCTGGATTTTATATGGAGCTCTATTGAGTAAAACAGCAGATTATAGTGTGCATGCATATATACACTTACTATGTTGGCTATCTTCTGAGAGCTGGGGTCTGTTCGTCGTACTTCACTTAAATGATCTAAGATAATTTGGCAGATCCTGGATCTTTTAATAATATTCAGTTATCCATGTGAGCAAAATTACATCATATTTGCAGTAAAGGGTTTGTTAAATATGAGACGCAATAACTTTACAGATTTGTTGTGAGCTGCAGGCTTTACACTTTCATGTGTTGAGAGTATTCATCACGTATTTCAATGCATATCAGTGTATTTAGTTCTACATTTAGAGAAGATTTTCTTTATTATAGTAGACTAGGCCTACTCAAGTTTTTTTTTAATCGGTGTAAGGAAAAAACTAAATTTTGCATCAAAAAAGCATTTTGATATCGATTTTGATATCAACCTTTGCAAAGCATCAGATCATCGTTATATTAGAGTAGAAAACACGTGCATGACTGCATAAATTATTATCTTTTTTTTAAATAAGTCGAATATTGTGCATGTACACGTTCGTATTTAAAAAGTTTATATCAAAAAATTTTCTCTTTGAACCACCAGGTGGCAGTCTTTACTTTTATTTTGGAGTGCAGATTGCATAAGTTTTATTAATATATATATATATATATATATATATATATATATATATATATATATATATATATATATATATATATTTTTTTTTTTTTTTTTTTTTGTTAAAAATATACATTTACTTTTTTCCCAAGTGTATATAAATACTGTAAGAAAATATCAGTATTTGGTATACACTTTCAGTATTATTTTTGCTTGAACTGACCCTATATAATCCTGTTTACATGAAATAAACCTGCTCCCAAGCAGGTTTGAGCTACCATAAATGTTGCTATGACAACAGGTGAGTTTTGAAGAATGAAACGATCCTGGATCGTGTTAAATTGTCAATATCCAAATCCAGCTAACGGAGTAATCCACGTACGAAGAACAGACCCCTGACCCTGAGCTGCTCATTTTGATTTTCTCAGATATATCAAGATAAAAGAACACTCTTACACATGCATGATTATAAGGTGTCATTGCATGATTATATGGTGTCATATATTTACAATCAAAAAATGTCATCATACTGGAAGTCAATGGGGCAAAAACATTTTTGATAGTTTTTTGATAGTTTCAAAGCATTTTCCCAAAATAAATAAATCTGTCAGCAAAGATCATTCCATTTGCTGAAACACAGAGAAAGTTGTGGCCAAATTCAGCCTCAAAATTAGCCCAGAGTGGATGAAATCATCCCCAACATTAAATAAGGACATGCAACATACATGAGAAAAAAAGCAACATATGGCAACGTCTGGTTTTTCCCAATATTGTGCAGCTCTAGTGTCAGAGTAGTGTAAAGCTACTGCAGAGGGAGTTTACTGTGTTTGTACTGTGTTTGTTTCAGATATCCCCATGTCAGTGGGCATCACTGAGGCTCAAGCTCATCCTTCACAGCTCAACGCTGCAGAGTTTCTGTGGGATCTCTCCAAACGGGCCTCTGTGTTTGTGCAGGTACACCACAGATTTACACTCAACCACGTTCCTAGAGGCCCACCAGCACTGCATGTTTTGGATGTCTCCTTTGTCTGTCACACCCATTACAGGTCTTTCAGTCTCTGCTAATGAGCTGATGATCTCAATCAGGTGTGTTTAATTAAAGAGACAGGAAAGTGGTTGAGAAACACTGCATTAGATTACTGCTGTTGCAGCATTGCATGGGATATTTTTTCAGCGTAGACTGACAGATAAATGTGGAAATCAGCTGCTGGCATTGATGCTTTTGTACCAGGGCTGCATACCTTATAACCTTATAACTCTAAGGTGACGATATGGTAAAACAACAATAATATTAGGCCTATGTGTAGCTCTACTGTTGCTTAAAATGCTCATCTTTGTACAGTCATTATGGTGGACTTGAACAGACTTTCAATTAGTGATGGGTCGTTCAAGAATGATTCGTTCATTTTGAACGAATCTTCAATATGACTCGGGAACTATAAGTCCTCTCAGGGAGTGATTCGTTCATCTGCACATGCGCACATTTGTGCAGGTGATATCGTTCATTTCAAGTCTTTTGAGTTGTTCATCGCGGAAAGACAGAAGTCAATCATATGCATTTAGAGCCGGAAAAAGAATTGAACCGTTCATCTCTCGAGTCCTCTATCAGGTCTGAGTCATTCGTTCCTCACAGGCCAAAAAGAATTGAATTGAAAGGTTGACTAATTATCATGGCTCCTATCGACTCAGACTGTGTACATTGGTAAAGATTATATGTGACTGTCAGTAACGTGAACAAACCACTGACATTTGAAGACATGAAGTGCTGAGCTGAGCAAAGAGACAACAATGCCTTCATAGACAAAAGAGCAGGGAAATATTGAATTATCATTTTCTCCTTATAGTATTCTATTTATGACTTATTTGTTGTGTGATCAACCTTTTGGGCTAGTTGTAGATGTGTTTGGAAACAATTCGTAACATTTTAATAATATTTTGGCAAATTGAACCAAATGAACGAAATGACTCGAAAAAAGATTCGTTCATTTCGATGAACAAGACTCAAAGATCCGAGTCAGTAAAATGATCCAAACTTCCCATTACTACTTTCAATCTGTCCTGTTTGTTATTTCACAGTAAAGTGATGACATCAGAGTACACCTGTTCATAATTATAAAGTTAAATGATTACGTTTGAGACATGTGCTTGTCATTTGTCATTGACAGCATTATTAGACCATTTTAATCACTGGTAAAATCAGACATTTGTCATTATCAGATTTCTTCTTGCATTATATTCAACATTATATAAGCTAGAGTAGTTATACTTGCACTGTTAAACATTTATTTTCATGCACAACACTGTGTTAGCTATATCAAATGCTTGTCGGAATCATAACCATAAAATGCATTATGATCATTTAAATGATGTGCGGCCAGTTTCATTTTCACTTCCGAGTGCGGCTGTTGGCTGCTGTCACTGTGATAAAACACACACACATGCAAATCATTCTTTCAGCGCGGCTCTCAAACGATCGCTCTGTTCAACTAACTGAACGTTATTTACAACTTTATTACATGTTATTCACAGACTATGCAGGTTCTGTTCACTAAAGCAGCCGTCATTGGCGTGCTGTGTGCGCTCGTTCTCGGTAGCTCGTGATCAGCTCACGTGTGATTTCGCGGCCGCACATACATCATTACATGAAAATAGAAATTACATTTCTGGGTGAATTATACCTTATAAATGCAGTACGTGACACTTTTAACACCATTTGAAGATGTTCATGTTCCTGTGAAGACTTGTGCGACCGCCTTTAAGCTTCTCTCCTGATCTTGTAATGTAATGTGTATTTATATAGTGCATTTATTGTATATGGCCATACACCCAAAGCGCTTCACAATCATGAGGGGGGTCTCTCCACACCACCACCAGTGTGCAGCATCCACTTGGATGATGCGACGGCAGCCACAGGACAACAGCACCAGTGCGCTCACCACACACCAGGGGAGTGGAGAGACAGTGATAGAGCCAATTCGGTGGATGGGGATGATTGGGAGGCCATGATCGTAAGGGCCGATTAAGGGACTTTGGCCAGGACACCGGGGTTACACCCCTGCTCTTTCACGAGAAGTGCCATGGGATTTTTAATGACCACAGAGAGTCAGGACCTTGGTTTAACGTCTCATCCGAAAGACGGCGCCAGGCACGTGCACACATAGGGCTCAACCTGTGCAGTGCACATGCCCTTTTTAGTCTTGGATAAAAAGTGCCCTTCCAAAATGATCAAAAGTGCCCCCGCGACGCGACACACCCTCCGTCCCGCCCTTCAGTAGGCGCACGACAATACTGATCTGGAGTACGCGCGCTCATACCCCCCCCCTCCGCCGCTTTACAGTACGCGTGCGACAACACCCCCCCCCCCCTCTTTAAAAAGTTTATCCTGCACATGCCCTTTGTACGGTCTCTGCACGGGCCTGGATGGCGCTCACTGACAGTGTAGTGTCCCCTTCACTTTTACTGGGGCATTAGGACTCACACAGACTGCAGATTGAGCGCCCCCTGCTGGCCTATCTAACACTACTTCCAACAGCAACCTAGTGTTCCCTAGTGGTCTCCCATCCAGGTACTGACCAGGCTCAGCCCTGCTTAGCTTCGGTGAGTAAGCGGTCTTGGGCTGCAGGGTGACATGGCTGTGGCATGTTGAAAATATGAACCTTGAAAATATAATTGGCTGAATCATAGAAAAGCTGAATTAAGATCGTGTGTAGGGTCAAATCGAGATCGTGATCTTTTTTTCAATTAATCGTGCAGCCCTATTTTGTACAACCAAATTTTAGGACTGTAATAAACACAAAATAAATCAAATTTGAATCAAAGCAAAAACATCAGAACTGCAGTCGGCTTTGTGTTATAATAGAAACCCCATTTTTTAATAAATTATTTATCTGCTATTAATAACACGCCTTTAAAATTAGCATAAAGCCATGATTTTATTTTGCTGTATCCATCCAATTAATTAATCGCCATCAGATTTAAAGGATTTGTCTCAGGAAACTATGTTTTATGCATGCTTTTATCAAAAACATTTACGTGGCCAAAAATACTCCAAAAGGTCACATGGCCAAATAATACAGTTTTATTTCATAATTCATACATTTATGCGTTACATATATTCGATATAATGTTGGCAGACCTGTTTGTTTTATGCACATACATATGCAGTTGAGCATTTACTGGTGCGCGTTCATTAATTTTCCTTTGGTTTAGCACAGTTAAGTCCTGCGTTGTTAAGTTCCAACTTCCTTCAACACACCTGCCAGGAGGTTTCTAGTACACCTACAAAGAGCTTGCTTAGCTGTGTTTAATTGGGGTTGGAACTAAAATATGCAGGACACCGGCCCTCCAGAACCGGCATTGAACACTCCTGGTTTAGTCCCTTATTTATCAGGGGTCGCCACAGCAGAATGAACCTCCAACTATTCCAGCATATGTTTTATGCAGCAGATGCCCTTCCAGCCTCATACACTACAGCCAATTTAGTTTATTCAGTTCACCTATGGTGCATGGCTTTGGACTGTGAGGAAAACCAGAGCACCCGGAGGAAACCCGGTAACACCCCATTCACACGGCGCATCAGCGTCAACGCTTCCTATTCACTTTGAATGGGTGACATCATGTGTTGCCGAACTGCATTGTCAGAGGCATTGCTCGCTGCAGAAGTTAGGACTAGCTCAACTTTTCAAGCGCCGACGGAAGCGTCAGCCAATCAGATCACTGTATGCAAATACACCAGCTAGACACTGGCCTATTGCTGACTGAATTTCATTGGCTGACGCTGCTATGGTGATCGCGTTAGCCTCAACTTCAGGCACGCCTTCAGTCAACCGTTGACTTAGCCACCCTGGTGCATATTACTGCAGGTCAGTTTTATTTAGTGCTTGTTGTCAAGATCCCTACAGCTGTTTAGTGTAGTTAATGAATTGAGCATGCCTGAAGCACAATCTCATTGGCCAGAAATTCTCTTTCCACACACAAACACAGAGGAGCAGAAAGAGTCAGACATGTTTGAGATGATCCTGGTGTCTCTGATATGTTGGAGAGAGTCTTGATTAGGGAAGCTGACTCTCTGACATTATCTCCTGGCCCTGGAAGCATCCGATCGAGTTTCAAACATATGGATATCATTCTAGCTGATTAAAAGCGTATCTGGCACATCCTGATCTAGAGTAATGGGTGCCAAGGAAAATCTAATGTGCTCCAGAAAGCCACCATGTTATTTATCTTTCCCTCTTTCCTTCCGTCTCTGAAGGTTCATTGCATCAGTACAGAGTTCACTCCGCGGAAACACGGCGGAGAGAAAGGAGTTCCGTTCCGGATCCAGATCGACACCTTCAAACAGGATGAAAGCGGAGAGTACATTGAACACCTGCACTCCGCCAGCTGCCAGATCAAAGTCTTCAAGGTGACGTCACACACACACACACACACACACACACACACACAAAAACACTGTGCCCTCCGCTAATACTGGCGTCCTGGGTAAATATCAGCAAGGGAGAGCTCTGAAATTATCTTAGTTTAACCTTTTGATCTTTTACACAAACTGTTAAAGAGATTCACCGATAATGAAAATACTGTCATCATTGAAATCACCCCATTACTCTTCCAAACCTGATTGTCTTTATTTCTCCTGTTAAACACAAAAACTCCCCTGATTTTGTTTTTATTGAAAGCTGAAAACATGTAACCATTGACTTGCTTATGTGGCTATGGAAGTCAATAGTTACAGGTTTTCAGCCTTCTAATCAGAGGAGATGAGAATTTTGGGGTGAACCATCGCTTAAACAAAAAAAAAAAAAACTCTCAATGAGTAGTTTACATGGACACCAATATGTAATCTGATTTTAATTTGATTAAGACGATACTTTCATTAAGATATCACAGGGCTTGAAAACAAATCACAGCAGCCTTTGATTAAAAAAGAGTGCCAATATTAGTGGAGGGCAGTACATATGGGGTGTGGTTGAAGAGTGAATATTGCATTTGTATCCATGTTTTGTTGTTATAGTTTGTTTTGAACGGTTAACAATTTTTATAAATGAAGGAACTGTTCACAAGAAAATAAGAAGTCATCCTTTACCCACTTGAAAAGAGTTGCAGGAGTTTCAGATTTTGAAGAATGACTTGAATATCATTTCATGGTCAGTTTTATTCATAGTTTGTTCTAAAATGTTCTTCTTGTCTTCTTTCACAGCCAAAGGGAGCAGACAGAAAACAGAAAACAGACCGGGAGAAGATGGAGAAGAGGACTCCGCAGGAGAAAGAGAAATATCAGCCCTCTTATGATACCACTATACTGTCAGAGGCAAGAATATTAATATTTGATTTGCTTTAGTAGATTGAATAAGCAGCCAATAGGAAATGTTAAACAGATCTCTCTAAAATGTGTGCACTTACAGCCTATTTTGTTAGCTTGATGTAATTGCATTGTATAAATGACTTTAAAAATGTCATTGTTCTGCTTGAAGTTTTTTTAATGACAGATATTATCCGACAAACACAAATAAACCATTAATCCATCAGGTTTCTATGTAAAGCATGCTTTTAAAATATGTGTAAACCGCTCTTTGATTGTATTCTAACTTGTTACTTGCTATGAAAGTAATGCCAACTAAGTGTGTCTGTCTGTCTGTCTGTCTGTCTGTCTGTCTGTCTGTCTGTCTGTCTGTCTGTCTGTCTGTCTGTAGACTCGATTGGAGCCTGTTATGGAGGAGGTAGTGGAACTCGAGCTGAAGAAGTCCAGCAAGCGGACACTTCCTGCAGACTGTGGAGATTCCATCGCCAAAAGCAAGAGAGGAAGTGTAAGTGCATATTCTCTCTTAACCACTCACTCTAATTCAGCCATCAACTCACTCACTCACTCACTCACTCACTCACTCACTCACTCACTCAGTCTCACTCATCTACTTTCTCTTTCATTGATTCACTTACTGACCCATTCATTCATGCACCTCTTTATTCACTCACTCAATTCACTTACTCTCTCAATTACCTACTTGTTCTCTCATTCATTCACTTATTCACCTTACTTGTTTACCCATTCATTCGTTCACTCACACTCACTCTTTTGCACTTTCATTCACTCACTCATTAACACTCACTTATTTCACTCACTCATACTCATTTACACTTACTCACTCATTCACCCACACATACACTCACTCACCTGTTTACTCCTTCTTCATTTACTCACTCATTGACTCATTCACCCATTCACCCTTTGCTCATCCACTTACTTATTCACTCCCTTACTTGTTTACACATTCACTCACTCATATTCACTCATTTGCACTCTCACTCCTTCACACACACACTCACTCACTCACACATTCACCACTTCATTTACTCACTCATTGACTCATTCACCCATTCATCTTTTGCTCACTCACTCACTCTCTTACTCACTAAGTCGCTTGCTAATTCACTCACCCACTCACTCATTCACTCACTTATTTACTTACTAATTCACGCTCACCTCACTTATTTACTCCCTTACAATTACTCACCTATTTGCACTCACTCATTAACCCACCCATGCACTCACTCATTCACTCCTTCATTTACTCACTCATTGACTCATTCACGCATTCATCCTTTGCTCACCCACTCACTCATTCATGCTCTTACTAACTCATTTGCTAATTCACTCGTCCACTCACTCATTGGGTTTCACTCACTCACCCATTCACTCATTCATTCACTTACCCACCTCACTTACTCATTCCCTTACTTGGTTACCCATTCGCTCACTCATTCACACTCACTAATTTGCCCTCTCATTCACCCACCCATTTACTCTCTAATTCCCACTCACTTATTTGCACTCACTCATACTCACCCATTCACTCATACTCACCCATTCATCCCTTGCTCACCGCTCTCTTTTTCACCTACCAACTTAATTTTTCATTCACCCACCACTCACTCATTCGGTTTCACTCACCCATTCATTCCCTCATTAACTCATTCATTCACCCTTTCATCCCTTGCTCACCATGCTTGTACCCTTACTCACTAACTCACTTGTTTATTCACCCACTTACTCATTCGGTTTCACTTACTCACCCATTCACTTCCTCATTTACTCACTCATTCATTCACACGCACTCACCAATTGGCTCCCTCATTTACTCACTCATTCACCCATTCGTCCTATGCTCACCCACTCACTCATTTGGTCTCTCACTCACTCGCTCAATCACCCACTCACTCATTCAGTTTCACTCACCCTTCAGTCCCCCATTTACTCACTCATTCACACTCACTCACTCATTCACACTTACTCACTCCCTTATTTACACTTATTCATTCACCCATTCATTCCTTGCTCACCCACTCACTCAGTTACTATCTTTCTCAGCCACTAACTAACTCACTCATTCACCCACTCACTCATTCACTTACTCACCCCCTTATTTACACTAATTCATTCACCCATTCATCCCTTGCTCACCCACTCACTCATTTACTCTCTTTCTCAGCCACTAACTAACTCACTCATTCACCCACTCACTCATTCACCTCTGCTGTGTTCAGTTCACTCTTGCTGGAGTCAGACTCCACAGTTATGATTATTTCTGCCTCCATCATTGTGATCCAGATGTTTCTCTGTGCTCTGTATTAATCTTAATGCCTTTTTCCTCTTTCCCTCATTCTAGTGCTCTCCATGGCCAGATAATGCATATGTCAACCCCATTACAGCAGCCACACCGACCTTCACCTCCACCACAAACACCTACAGCTCCAGCAGCACAGTACCAGACAGGTGACACACACATCAGTGCATCTCTGGCCCTGTGAACACCTCATAATAACATGCAGTTTTGTCAGTGGCAATATTAAATATAAGTGGAAACTGTATCCACTTGCTTTAATAGTGTATTCAATAGTACTTGTGCATCCCAATCAGATAAAGATGAAGTACACCCCTGAGTTTTAGGAACAACAAATAATAACTGGACTTTTAGTTGATCATTTGGTATCAGAGGTGGCTTATATGAAAGGCAAAAGGCCTCTAGATTACATTTATTTTTTTTAAATAAAATATGATCATGCCTTCAATATTAATTAGGACAGGAAGGTCTGACTTTGCTTAGAAAAAAGTCTTGTCACTTAACAGAAATAATGTCCAGTATAGAATATAAAGTCATGCTGCAGTGGAAACAGAATGAATACTGTGTCTGACTCCATCATGAGCTTGGAGGACAGCATCCATACATCTCTGCAATAACTTAAATAACCAATTAATAAATTCATCGGGAATGGCAAAGAAAGCGTTCCTGCAGGACTCCCAGAGTTCATCAAGATTCTTTGTATTCATTTTCAATGCCTCCTCCTTCATCTTACCCCAGACATGCTCAATAATGTTCATGTCTGGTGGCTGGGCTGGCCAATCCTGGAGCACCTTGACCTCCTTTGCCTTCACAAACTATGATGTGGAGGCTGAAGTATGAGAAGGAGCGCTATCCTGCTGAAGAATTTGCCCTCTCCTGTGGTTTGTAATGTAATGGGCAGCACAAATGACTTGATACCTCAGGCTGTTGATGTTGCCATCCACTCTGCAGATCTCTCGCACGCCCCATTACTGAATGTAACCCCAAACCATGATTTTTCCTTCACCAAGCTTGACTAATTTCTATGAGAATCTTGGCTCCATGCGGGTTCCAACAGGTCTTCTGCAGTATTTGTGATGATTGTTCAACAGAAGATTCATCTGAAAATTTATCATCTGCCACTTTTCAAATGATCAACTACGTCAAGTTATTATTCGTTGCTCTTACAACTGGGATCGACGACAAGACTTTTGTCAGGCAGTGTATATCATGATGGAAAAAAGAGGAAAGTGTCTTAAAATCCTTATCTAATAGCATTTTAATGCCACATGGAAACAGGGCCTTTTTAACAGTGTTCCTGTGATGAGCAGTTATTCAATGTTTGATACTTTTGTTTTTAGTGAGTCGTCTTCACCAAACCACCAAGGAGATCTTGGTAACCTCACGGTTGTGGAGGTTTGTATGTTTCATTTTTACTCTGTTTTACCTTGGAGATGTACTGTGTTTATTGTTGCAATTTCGTAAAAGTCATAGTTCTAAAATTAAAGGGAATGCTATATTGTGTCTCTGATGTCCATAGAGTGTGAATGTAAAGTTTGAGCTAAAAATGCCTCATAAATTTTGTTTCATAACTCTTCGAAACTGACACTTTTAGGTTTTGATCGAAATTATGCCATTTTGGTGACTGTTGCTTTAAATTTAAATGAGATTGAGCTCTTTTCAAAAGAAGGCGGAGCTACGCAGCAAATATAAAACTCTAATGCATCTCACTCAGGGCTGTCTATGCTAATGAGAGGGAGATGGTCACTAATGGGCGGGGTTTACCCCCTCTGATGACCTGTATAAAGTGAGAATGTCAATCAAAGTGTTTCTGCTGACTGTTTTTATCAAGTGTGATTATAAAAATAGAATTAATTCATTTTTGGCATTAGAAGCTGGCTATATTTACAGGCTGTTGCCACTACTGTTTAAATCTTATTAAGGTTATTTGTGCATTATAGACCCTCTTTAAAACAAACAAACAAACAACAAAAGCAGAATTTTGACATCAGCTCTGAATTTTAAGAAGAAAGTCCATGAATGAAAAATTGCAAACCTCACAATTTAGCCTTTTCCTCTTATATTGGGATTTCTATTTCTTTTTTTTTTTAATTCAACATATTTCAATAGCAGTCCAAATTGTGGGATAAAAAAAATCATGATTACTTTTTTATTTCATGGCATCTTTTCAGCCTTGCTTAATATATATTTCTCTTATAATCTGCAGTTTTACAATATAATGTGCTTTTTTAAAAAGGTTAATTATATATTTTAAGAGGAAAATGCTCCTATTCTAATTAGCATTTAAAAATTAAATGTGCACTTTTATTATACAGTCTCTCAGTCCTACGGCCTCCATACAGGACACACAGAAGTGGCTCCTTAAGAACAGATTCAACTCCTACAGTCGTGTTTTCGCCCATTTCTCAGGTATTTACACAGACACAGTTTCATGTTGTAAAAATCAATGTTTTTTTGAATCAATACTTAAAAATGTAGCTACCTGTACCTACATAAATATCACATTACTGCATAAATACCACCACATCCCATACCATCCTTGATGTGACTTTTTTTTTTTTACAGTAGAGCATTAAAGGTCCCAACTAACTTTTTTTAAATGTTAGTATCAGTATTTTTAGTTCTTAGCTAGCTTCTATAAGCTAGTGTGCTCCAAAACAATGACAAAATTCACGTTTAGAAGATATAAGACTGATATAAACATGTAAAGCTTGTAGTTTGTCACTTCTGCCTAAAGGCTGATTTATATTTCTGTGTCAAACACACGCGTATGGTCCGGCGCAGCCTTCGGTCACAGCCCTTGCCGTGACTGACACCAATGCTGACGTGCACCTCTCTAAAAAATGTAACTACACGTCACAACGATGCATAGCTCAAGCTCTGTGATTGGTCTGCTTGGAAAGTTGTGATGAGTGTATGCGGTGATGAGAGCCGAGTGCCCGATGGAGCGCGTGTTTACCAGTGTGGAGTCCTGTGAAGGAACTCCAGATGGAAACTTTTGTTTTGTGTTTACCTTATGGTTAAAATTGAGCAAGTTTGAGCTACTTGTATATTAAAGTAGCGTTCAGAAAAAAACAAAACACCCTCAAAGAAACTCTATACAAATAAACATAACATGTTCCTGGCATGACTGCCAGCCAGCATTTCGGAAGTGTTATTGCAGAGCAGCATGCAGAAGTTTAAATGCACGGCGATTACTCAACGCAGAAGTATAAACCAGCCTTAAATAGATCAACGTTTTATTCATATCTCCTCATACTTCAGTTTCTCATCCAATCTTGACCAATCAAATGCGGTCTAGTGTCTGACATGCCCCGCCCGTTTTAAGATGCTTTTAGTTTGATGCACTTGGGCTCAACCACTTTCACTGACAGAGCTGTGATAAAGCAAAATGCTATTGGCTGTTTTTTAAAGGGAGGAGCTACCCTATGTCCCGCCCTCTCTTTGTGTTTTGGTTGAAGTTACGACAAACATCGAATAAAAATGCACATTTCAAAGCACTTCACGAGAGAAGACTTTTAGCTATAATCATGATCTTTACTGAATGTTAAAATGCAAGTAAATGTCTGTCAACACTTTCAGAGTAAAAAAAACACACAGGCAAAGGAAAATTAAAACTCAAGTCTCCAGGGGTCCGTTCTTCGTACGTGGGTTATTCAGTTAGCTGGATTTGGTTATTGACGATTTGACACGATCCAGGATCGTTTCGTTCTTTAAAACTGATCCGAGAGTTGTTGTCATAGCAACAGTTCTGGTAGCTCAAACCTGCTTGGGAGCAGCAGCTTATTTCATGTAAACAGGATTAGATTGAGTCAGTTTAGGCAAAGATAATACTGAAAGTATGTACCGAATTCTGATATTTTCTTACAGTAGTACCGGTTGTTATATACACTTTAGAAACGCCTTTACCAATATCCAATATCTTTAATAATATTTGTGAACATCCAGTTATTCTTTACATCGATTAAGAAAACGGCTACAATAATACTACTATGGCTACTATAATAGAGAAAATCCACTCTAACTGTAAAACTAAATAAATTGCTAAATACTCTTGACACATGAACACATGATACTTATTGTGTATCATATTTAACAAACCGTTTACTACTAATTTGATGTAATTTAGCTCACATGAATAACTGAATATCTATCAGATGATGTCATGATTACGCTGCTGTGCCGTCAGCCAATCGTTGCATAGCTGATCATGATTTCGAGGATTGATAGATCTGTCCTTCACAACACACGCAGCGATCTCAGATCAGTTCATCCAGACATTCTAATCTGATTCACGAACTTGTTTGAAGAACCAAATTAGCGAGAGATCAGTTATCAAGATTAAAAGATCCGGGATCTGCCAAATCATCTTAGATCATTTAAGCGAGATACGAAGAACAGACCCCTGGGGATACATTGAAGTCTTTATGAAACGAAAAAAACCTCTCTGTGCTTGAATCTGAATGTTATTTACATTATTACCTCTAATTCACATTCAATACTCAAAACTCATATTTCAGCTAAAAAAATCATTTTGCATGACTTACTGAACAAAACAAAACAAAAACGTTATCCTGAATAGCCTGAGGGTCATTCATTAAACAGCAATTTTAAATGAATTATATCTTTTTTATATATATATATATATATATATATATATATATATATATATATATATATATATATATATATATATATATATAATATCTTTTTTTACCATAATATTTTTAGTTTTCAGTTTGTACACATTGAAATACAACATTTTACAAACATTTTACAACAATAATAACCTTGTTGCATTCACAAATTATACAAAATATGGGATATATATATATATATATCTTTATAATAAAAACTAAAAGCAAACAACAAACGAGCAAACAAACAACAAAAAATAAATAAATAAAATAAAAAATAAATGAAAATAAAACTGCTCCTCTTTTTCTTCAATAATAGTAATCTATTCAAACATGACAATTATAATCATACTGAGTACTAGGCAAAGCAAATATATATTAAGTAATGTATCAATGGAAAACTATAAAGCTGGAACTGCATTATCCATCAAAAATTATTCATCAACTTCTTCCTCTGTTAATTCCACTTATAACTTGTAACTAATGAAAGGACTCACACGTTGTTTAGCTTTTAGTATATAAGTTATTTTTTCTAATGGCAGACTTGACAACATTTGTTATTCATTGAGTAGCGTTTGGTCTTTGCGAATTATCACTTTTAACAAATTAACCAAATGTGGTTAATAATGAGAGAATCAGTTAATGTGTGTTTCTCCTACTGCAGGTTCTGATCTACTGAAATTAACTCGTGAAGATTTAGTCCAAATTTGTGGTGCTGCCGATGGAATTAGACTCTACAATGCACTTAAGTCCAGGTACAATAGAAGTGATCTTTATATTACAGTTCTGAAGATGTAAACTGAAGCCTTGTACTGATGTGTGTTTGTGTGTGTATGTCCCAAACAGAGCAGTGCGGCCCAGACTCACACTTTATGTGTCTCTGGAAGCGTCTCAGAGCGAGAGCCCTCTGCTGGAGAAACGGGGACGCAGCAAGAACGGAGAACACAGCAGCCCAGCAGCCATACCTGGTAAAGATATTAAAAAAAGAGACTTGCACGCATCATACCACAATCAATGTACTAATTAACAGCTGTTGTAGGGCTGCACGATATTTGAAAACACTGCCATTATAATGTTTAATTTTTCTGCGATATATTGTGATTTTACTTAATGAATTGTAAAGCATTAGAATTATGGAGACGAAAGACTCTATTTTCCTAATGCTCCCCACTAAAAGACGACACTATAAGAGCTGATGCTGAATTTGTGATGTATTGTATCAGTACTGCATAAATAAATGCAGTAAGACCACCAGTCAGAGCTGACACAGTTCTCTCTGGAGCCACAGCTAATAACAGACGTCAGTAGCACAGTTGTGGTGAAACCCAAAACACAATTACCAAGAAAATAATCAGTTTGCTTTATGTAAATCTAAAAGTTTGAGCTCTGGGTATGAACATCGACTTTCATTGACATGTTTGTTTTCATAAAAATTTTCATTTTGAAAGATTTATTTGAATTGAGGATTTATTGACTAAATCATTTTTATAGGAACTGGTGGATTTAGTGTAGTGCTGATTAATAATTATTCGTGACTGATGTACAAAGTTTATTTGCATAATATATGTGCATGTACTGTGTATAATTATTATGTATATATAAATGCACACACATAGATGTCTATATACTTTAAAATACTTTAATTGTAATTATATACATTTGTTTTATATATATATATATTTATTTATATATATATATATTATTTATATATATATATATATATTTGTATATATATAACAAATGTATATAATTACAATTAAAGTAAGTATTTTAAAGTATATAGACATGTATAAACATTCTTTATACATATATTCACTCACCGGCCACTTTATTAGGTACACCTTACTAGTATACTAGGACTTTCTTTTGTTTTCAGAACTGCTTTAACCCTTCATGGTATAGATTGAAAAAGGTACTGGAAGTACTGAAAAGTTCCTCAGAGCTTTTGGTCCATATTGACATGATAGCATTACACAGTTGCTGCAGATTTGTCGGCTGCACATCCATGATGCAAATCTCCCATTCCATCCCATCCCAAAGGTGCTCTGTTGAATTGAGTTCTGGTGACTGTGGTGGCCATTTGAGTACAGTGAACTCATTGTCATGTTCAAGAAACCAGTCTGAGATGATTTGCCCTTCATGACATAGTGCATTATCCTGCTGGAAGTAGCCATCAGAAGATGAGTGCACTGTGGTCATAAAGAGATCGACATGGTCAACAACAATACTCAGGTAGACTGTGGTGCTGACACAATGCTCAATCACACTATTACACCACCACCAGCAGCCTGAACCGTTGACACAAGGCAGGATGGATCCATGCTTTTATGTTGTTGTTGCCAAATTCTGACCCTACCATCTAAATGTTGCAACAGAAATCGAGACTCATCAGACCAGACAACGTTTCTCTAATCTTCTATTGTCTAATTTTGGTGAGCTTGTGTGAATTGTAGCCTCAGTTTCCTGTTCTTAGCTGACAGGAGTGCCACCCGGTGTGGACTTCTGCTGCTGTCTTGACCATGTCTACATCTCTAAATGCATTGAGTTGCTGCCATGAGATTGGCTAATTAGAAATTTGCGTTAACGAGCAGTTGGAGAGCTGTACCTAATAAAATGGCCATTGATGTGTGTTTATATGCACATAATGAATATACACAGATATACATATATACATACATACAAATATTTGTTGATCCGTAACTGACCTAAATCAGCATAAAAGAATAGCTTAATAGTTATTCTTAATTAGCACAAAAATATCAGACATGTAATATATAGATATCATTTTCCATCAATATGTATCTCTATATTCACGGCTCTCTGTCAGTGTTTGTAAGGGTGTTGTGCAGATGTTTGTTTTTCTTCGGTCAGACTGTTAAATTTGAAGTAAATTCATTACGGTTTTGTCTTTGCGTGTAGTTTATCACGCTCTTTACCTTGAAGAGATGACGGCTTGTGAGCTCACCAGGAAGATCTCCAGTGTTCTAGCGCTGCCACTTACCCACATCAGTCAAGTGTACAAACAGGGGCCGACAGGGATACACATACTGCTCAGTGACCAGGTAAACACACACACATTCACACAATCTCTTCCTCTACTCTCTGGGCAAATATAACTGCTCGTTTGAATAATGTTTTGCATAAAACTCGCTTCATCGTACCCTTTTTGTCTTCTGTTATCATTTGTCATGAATAAATGGGTGGTGTAGGTGAGGGACATCATGTGACTGATTTGTCTAGTGAATGTAGTATTCATGTACTGCTGGAACAGAATGTGTTGATCAGAAGTGACGTAAGATATACACACACACACACACACACACACACACACACATTTTAATGGTTTTTGCTCACAAAGGATACATAAAGCATTAATGTTTTAAAATGTTGCATTAAAATTAGAATTTAATACAATATAACGTTTCGATTATTCCTGTGATGTCAAAGCTGCATTTTCAGCATCGTCACTCCAATCTTCAGAGAAATTATGCTAATATTATGCTAAAAGAAACGATTTAGATTATTATCGGTCCTGAAAACTGCTTGGATTGTAAATAGTGATCTTTTAAAGGGCACCTATGAGGAAAATCAACTTTTGTGAGCTGTTTGGACAGAACTGTAGGTATAGTGTGTCCACTGTCATATTGGAGTAATATAAAGGCAATAGCTGCGTCCCAAATAGCACGCTATGCACTTATGCACTATGTACTTATGCACTTACACACTCAACAGAATAGTATATGTATGTAGTGTTGTCCCAAATAGAGCACTAATGTTTTCTTACGAAGTGGAAATTCAAACCGTTTCTCTGATGATGTTTGACGGTCGCCAAATCAGTGAAATAAACGACCGAATTGTCAAATAATACCTGCTGTGAGTATGACTGCATTCATCATCGGGAGGCACTATAATCACTCTCGTAGGAGAATTTTGCTTTCACCATCCAAAATAAACAAAGTTATCCAACATGTGCGCCTGATAGCTCCGCCCCTTCCGCTACATGAGCAAACCTGCGGTCGTTGAGTGCGTGAAGTGTCCATCATTACACACTTCATTTTAGCGGCTGAATGAGTTTTCAGTGTGAATGCACTACTTACACTATTTATACTACAAAATGGCTTAGAATAGTGCATAAGTATGGGATTTGGGACGCAGCTAATAATTCTCTTTTTTTCTTTATATATTTCATGATATTAAAATAGGACCCAAATTCCAGTGATTTAGAGGCCCACTGCAAGGTGATGCAGGAGTGCGGTTTCCCCACACCCGAATTCTTTGACAGATGCCTCTTTTCTATAATACCATAAAAACACTAAACCTTTTTTTTTTTTTTTTTTTTTTTTTTGCAAATAAACTGGGAATAAAATGATTAATAAAACTGTCTGATTTTTATAAGTTTAAAATGTTTTTAAAACAGAGCATGTTTGTAATAAAGACAGTAAAATCACTGTAATTCTTAACTAATATAATCACCACGACCACATGGTGTCAGTAAACGCACATATATGTGTGCTGCAAACAGCATTTGTGTGTAACTCATCATTTCAGAAAGGCTTGAATAAACTCCACCACAAATACATCACCACCAATACTTGGTATTTTTAACTAATGAGCTGTATATCAGCTTCATCCTTGTCTGTCTTTATCACTGACTGCTGTTTATCTGATGTAACACGATGAGAAGCAGACGCACATGGGAGTGTTGGGCAGGAAAAAGCAGCCCATTTGCATTTAAAGCCACAGGCTACAAAATCAGCTACTCTATACTCAGAAACCAAAATGGGCAGATTCTGGAGGCTTTAATAAATGATCTGATGGGTATTTTGAGCTGAAGCTTTACAGACACATACTGAAGACACCAAAGGCTTATCTTGCATCGTGTAAAAGGGGTAAAATAGGTGCCCTTTAAGGGTTATTTTATAAAAATTAAGTTCAATGAAGCATTTATTTGAAATGTAAATAATCAGAAATGTTTTACTTTAAATTTAATTGATTTCTTGCTCAATAAAATTATTTATTCTTTGTCTTTTTTAAACCTTTGTTAGGTTTTATTCAGAGATTTTTTATTACAAAATCAATGGCAACTGACAGCACTAACAAATACACTTTCATATTTCATGATAAAATGATTAAAGATTTGATTAATTATTTTGATCATTTTGTATTTGAGAAAATATATAAATCAACAAATCCAAAGTTTTTCCTGGAGGAGTTGGAAAAAGTAAAAAAAAAAAACATTGAAAAAATTGGAAAATCCCATATAATTGTTGTTATTATTATTATTATTATTATTATAAATGTAACTTTATGTATGTTTTTGAAAGTCTGTTTTTTTTAAAGAAAGTAAATCATAAAGTATTGTAAATAGTGTGTTAAAGTAATGTCTATTATTTTCTATGAATAAAACCAGTGCTGTTGACTTTGTATGAAGTAATGTGTAGGTGAATAATTACTAAAGCAACCTATAATAATATTGACTAGATGTCTTTGGAGAAAAAAGCTAATAAATCCCTTATAAAATGACATCCATTCATAAAGTTTAATTTAAGAAGGAGATCATACTTGCATCTAAAGTAAACACAATCTTTCATGGACACACTTTTTTCTGCTTACAGATGGTTTATAACTTCCTTGATGAGAGCAGTTTCATCATTAGCATAATACAAGGTAAAGCATTTTCACATCACACTAAAAACAAATCAGTACACCAGAAACATTTCATTCTCCATTATCCTACATGTAAAACACATACTTTCATAATGCATTGCTATTAATATAATGAGGCATCTAATTATTGTTATGACATTATGGAATTATTTAGAAATATGAATACTTTGAAATTGTTGAATTAGTATATCTTAAAAAATGGTTTCAGATTTTTATTTTGTGTTATTATTGCTTGGCTTTTTATTGTTTTGAGCCGGTGTTATTTATAAACTGTAAAGTTGATCTGTTTTTGCTAGTAGCCATGTTTCCATCTAAAGATGTGTGTAAGATTTATGCACAAAATTGGAATATCGCATAAAAGATGTGCGAATAAAGCAACATTTCCATCCAGTGAGTCAAAGAGAACAAAATTGTATAAGAAATAACAAAACTCGGTTTTTTTTTTCAAAACTCATATTACATACAGTTGAAGTCAGAATTATTAGCCCCCTTTTGATTTTTTTCTATTTTAAATATTTCCCAAATGATGTTTAACAGAGCAAGGAAATTTTCACAGTATGTCTGATAATATTTTTTATTCTGGAGAAAGTCTTATTTGTTTTATTTCGGCTCGAATAAAAGCAGTTTATAATTTTTTAAAAACCATTTTTGGGACAAAATTATTAGCCCCTTTAAGCTTTTTTTTTTTTTTTTTTTTTTTTGATAGTCTACAGAGCAAACCATCATTGTACAATAACTTGCCTAATTACCCTAACCTGCCTAGTTCACCTAATTATCAATATTAAAATATCAAGTAAAATATTATTTACTGTCATCATGGCAAAGATAAAATAAATCCGTTATTAGAAATAGATTTTTAAAACTGTTATGCTTAGAAATGTGTTGAAACAATCTTCCCTCCGTTAAACAGAAATAAGGAAAAAAAATAAACAGGGGCGCTTATAATTCAGGGGGGCTAATAATTCTGACTTCAACTGTATATCATTAGAAACAAATGGGTATCTAAAAACTAGCCAATTGTCATTTATTAGGCGAATAATAAACTGGCCAGCACATTACACTTTCCTCAGACGGCCAACACAGGATTCCGCTTGGTCTTAAAGCCTTTATCGATGGGTTAATTTCTTAATTCATTTTAACATGGCAGTCAAAATAGTCAAATGAGCTCTTGTATTGGACAAATTCCTGACCTCAGTGAGGGGGTGGGTCTTTCATACCACCTGAACACCCCTCACTATGGGCCTGTAATGATAATACTGAACCACTGTGATGACAGACTTTAGCTGAGGGATTTTAGGATGACCAAAACAACACTTCAGATGTACTCGCTCTGCTGTGTCAATTAATACCATATTACCACCCCATTGCAAACATTTTTATAACCACATGACCTATTAAAATAAAATCACATGACTTTTCTTGATGCACATGCTGGAATTTATTTAGTAAACGTTTTTTATGCACCTTATGTCTAATCGGATTAAAAGTTATCCTACTCGGATAAATTATTTATGCAAATTTTTGTCTTTTTGTTTGATATTCCTATTGAAATAAACATAAGTCGATGAAAACATTGCTATTAAAGCTGATATGCTATAAACTCCAACCTATCTGTTCTCCATCTTGTCTCACTTGTGCTCCATCTTGGCTCTTCCTCAGACGACAGCAATGATGGATTTCACCTGGTCCTGAAGTAGACGAGCAGAGACTGTGACGCCATCACTGCCGCACCAAAAGTGTTCCCTCCATCCTCCTCTCTCGTCCTCTCCCCAATCTCTCCCTCGTTCTTCACGTCTCGGTGTGAGATGGAGAAAAATGGCCGGGGTCGAGCAGGGCCTCCTAACTGTTAGAATCTGACTTCAGTGCGTAAAATTGTTTCATATTGAAAACACTTAAACTGATGCCAGTGTGTGAGCGAGCGGCGGGCTTTTAATTAAGTGCGTTTTTAAAGGAGGGATGGAGGCGAGCGGGAGTCCGCAAGAACATGGAGAACTGTGACCACTTTTACTTCAGCATGGTGAAGAATCGATTGTCTTTGCGACTCTGAGCGTACAGTACTTGAGTTTGTTCGTCTGTGAGTTGTCAACCATTTCTGGCCTACAGACGCCATCAAAAAAAACCCCAAGGTAGATAGTAATGACCTCTCGTGCAAAATGTGGGGAAATGCGTCCTGACTAAAGGCATGCGCAGGACGTCTTTATGTCTGTCTGGATGAAATAATTCCTGGGATTTTGAGTATGGTGACCTGCAGCTAACGCCAGGTTCAGTTTTGCTCTCAGTGCTGATATTGTTTGTTTTTTTTTGGGGGGTGGGGGGAGGTCACACTTTACAATAAAGTTCTATTAGTTAATGAATTTATTAGCATGAACAAACAATGAGCTATACTATTATTACAGTATTAGTTCGTTGTTAATGTTGGTTATTGAAAATACAGTCATTCGTTGTTAGTTTTTGTTAGCTCACAGTGCATTTTGGATTTTAATAATTCATTATTAAGTGTAAAATAAAACCCAAATATTAATATTCTGTGATTAATTCGTTATTATTAAGCCCCTGAGACCTTTGAACATAAATTAAGATATCTTGAATGAAACCTGGGAGCTCTCTGACCCTCCATAGAAACAAGGGTCCCGAGATGTTTAAAATTCAGAAAGGTCCCAAAAACACCCTCAATACAGGACCATGTGTCTTTAGTGGTTCAATCGTAATGCTATAAAGCTATGAGAATACTTTTGTGCACACTACAGTCCAGAAAGGAACCAAAAACATCCTCAAAACAGGATCATGTGTCTGTAGTGATTCAATTGTAATGCTATGAAGCTACAAGAATACTTTTGGCCACACACAAACTAACAAAACACAAAAATAATGAATTTATTATTTAACAATTTCCTCTCTTCAGGGTAGAGTTGTCAAAAGTATTAACGTTGCAATCAATATTGAAAATGAAAGTAAAACCTCAATCTTGCGCTAACATTTGAGCACTGTAGAGTTTTAACACTGCTGATTGGCCATTGTGTTCACATGCTCCACAAATAAGGCTGTGATTGGCTCTGAAGTTCATCACTTCACCACTCTTCACCAAGCGCAAACACAAATACATAAACTAAACATTTTAAATGAGTGTTTGAAAGCCACACCTATCAGCTGATCCAACTATATATATATATATATATATATATATATATATATATATATATATATATATATATATATATATATATATATATCCGATATATAAAAAAATATGCTGATGGATTAGCTGATAAACGTGGCTTTCAAACGCTCTAGTATCCATGTATATGTTTGCGCTTGATGAAAAGTGGTGAAATGATGACCTTCAGAGTCTTTATCTGTTAAGCATGTGAACACGACAACCTATCAGCGATTTAAAGGGACGGTTCACAACTCTTCACCAAGCGCAAACACAGATACACAGACTGAACCCTTTAAACGAGTGTTTGAAAGCTACGTCTGTCAGCTGAACCATCTATGAGTGGATCTATGAATTATACGCTAATGGATTAGCTGTTAAACGTAGCTTTGAAACACTCTAGTGTCCATGCATATGTTTTGCACTTGATGAAGTGATGGTGAAGTGATGACCTTCAGAGCCAATCACAGTCATATCTGTTGAGAATGTGAACACAAAAAACAATCAGTGGTTTAAAGGGACAATTCACCACTTTTCACCGAGTGTAAAACATATACATAGACACTAGAGCATTTGAAAGCCACGTTTATCAGCTGATCTGTCAGCGTATTGGCTCAAAGACAGATCAGCTGATAGACGTGGCTTCCAAACATTTAGGGTGAGTAAATAGTGAGATTACCCTCTCTGTATTCACTTTTGGGTGAACTATCCTTTAAAGAATGTGCTTAAATATAAGTGAGAAATGTATCGATTTGTACGTTAATAAGAAGAAACCGTTGAATGAAGTTATTATTTTATTGTTTTTATGCACACAGAAGTATTCTTGTAGCTTTATATCATTACAGTTGAACCACTGAAGGTCACAATTTTGAGGATATTTTTGGTTCCTTTCTGTACTTTACACATCTTGGGGGGCTGTCGTGAGGCTTAGAGAGCTCTTGGGTTTCATCTGAAATATCCTGCGTTCTGAAGTTGGGGATTGTAATAACACGAGGGTCAATAAATAAAGAGATGGTTCACATAAAAACAATTAACATTTACTCACCCTCAAGTGGTTCCAAGCGTTTATGAAGATATTTTAGAAGAATGCTAGAAACCGGTAGCCAATAACTTCCATAGTAGGAAAAACAAATACTATGCAAGTCAATGGTTATCGGTTTTTGTGATTGTTTTTGTGTTCAACAGTAAAAAGAAACCGTTTGTGACAAGAAAAGAGCGAATAAATGATGACAAAATATTTGTATTTTGGGTGAACTATCCCTTTAATAATACAATGGTAATTTTGGTTGGGAACTTACCCTTTAACAAACATAAACTAATGGAACTCAATTGTAAAGTGTGACCATTTTAATTTTCCAATTTCTCTTTCAAGACCAATCGTTTCTGGTGCCATGGTTTCTTTGTCGTTGATTAAATGAAGCGTCAGCCATTTAGAATTCAATGATTAGTCTTTTGGTTTTTAGATTGATTGTTGATCGTTGTGCTCCATATTCTCTGTGCCTGGCATCTATATGTGACTGGTAGCTCCTGGCACAGATTATAACACAGTTATTGTTGAATAAACAAGCACAATCGCAGGCCTCCGTAAATGATATTTCCCTATAATGCCTTTCACATCCTTTTAATCGTACGTTTAGGATATGACTGGTGCTTTTCTCATTGCACACATGGTTTACCGTCAGCTGCTCCAGTTATGCTCGACCATCATGACTGCGGTCAGACAGCTTTTTTCCCCCCGTCGTGGTCTTGAATAGCGACTGAACTCAGTAGGTCGTCCATCTCAGTAGTGATGTATTGGGCAGCTGTGCTTTGGCATGTACTGTGCTTATTATTGCCACTTTATAGAGGAGCATGGTTGTGATGAGAATGTCAACTCCTTTTAATGCTCAGAAAATATATACGTTAAAAAAGGAATGACCAAGTCTGCACTGAAACTGAAACCACAATACAAAAAATGTCACGCCGTTGGATTCCTGGCAGTCGTCGGATGCTCACTTTTAGACTTACACAATGTTTCCAGGTTGAACAGATGATCAAATAACGTGGAGGTTAGTTCTGCTCCTCAGATTGAATGCGGTGGATCCTCTTGTTTCTGTTATAATAATAATAATGATGATGATGATGGTTTCCTCATGTCACTGTTTGTCTAAAGAAAAGCCTCTCTTCCATAGGGAGTGCTGAGATGTACACAATTAATGCCTGTACCAGAAATAAAAGTAATTTTCATATATTTTCTCTGGAGTGATTTTAATTTGGGAAAGCAGAAGATGATTATGTTTGATGATTTATTGTATTTATTTATAATTATATATATATATATATATATATATATATATATATATATATATATATATATATATATATATATATATATTAATAGTATTTAATTTAGATTAAATTTATTTTGGGGGAAGTTGTTTTGGTTTGAGAACTATTAAAAGTAATGTTCATGCTGTTTTGATGTACACCCCTGACAAAAGTCTTGTTGCCTATCCAAGTTTTAGGAACAGCAAATAATAACTTGACCTTTAGTTAATCATTTGAGAAGTGGCTTATATGAAAGGCAAACTCCTCTAGATTACGCTTATTTCACCTAAATAAAATATGATCATGCCTTGATAATTAATGATTTCATTAGGACAGGAAGGTCTGACTTTGCTTAGACAAAAGTCTCGTCATTTAACAGAAATATTGTCCAGTATATAATATAAAGTCATGGTGCAGTGGAGACAGAATGAATATTGTGTCTGACTCCATCATGAGCTTGGAGGACTGCATCCATACATCTCTGCAATGACTCAAATAACTTATGAATAAAGTCATCTGGAATGGCAAAGATTCATCTTTGTATTAATCTTCAATGCCGCCTCCTTCATCTTACCCCAGACATGCTCAATAATGTTCATGCCTGGTGACTGGGCTGGCCAATCCTGGAGCACCTTGACCTTCTTTGCTTTCAGGAGCTTTGATGTGGAGGCTGAAGTATGAGAAGGAGCGCTATCCTGCTGGAGAATTTGCCCTCTCCTGTGGTTTGTAATGTAATGGGCAGCACAAATGTCTTGATATCTCAGGCTGTTGATGTTGCCATCCACTCTGCAGATCTCTCGCACGCCCCATACTGAATGTAACCCCAAACCATGATTTTTCCTTTACCAAACTTCTTGGAGTCTTTGGTCCATGCGGGTTCCAGTAGGTCTTCTGCAGTATTTGTGATGATTAGGATGCAGTTCAAGAGATGATTTATTGGAAAATCTATCTTCTGACACTTCCAAATGATCAACTAGACGACAAGATTTTTGTCAGGTAGTGTATTTTATTGAAAGTAAAAGTTTTAAAAAAAGCATTTTTTTTATCTATTTTATCTATTTATCTAAAGTTTTATCTATTTTAAGTAGTTATAGAGGAGAAGGATATACATTTAACTCCATTCAGTACGAGGTTAACACAATCTTGGAATACTATAGTTATTGTTATTAATGCTTGTTTTTTTGTGTGTGCTTTCTGTCATTTCAAAGAATAATATTTGTTATTAATAGAAATAGGCAAGTGCAAAAACATGGAAAATTCAATGCTTTTTATTACTTTTCAAATGATCAGATAATGCAATGAAATATTAAGTTACAACTTTTATAAATATTTTATTGTGATTCTTGAAATATTAGAATAGTATACAGATTTTTTTGAATGCTTTATGAAGAATAAGTTGTTTTGTAGATGGGGGGGGGGGGGGGGGGGGGGGTTAAAATATTCCTAAAATATATAAGATTATCTGTAATCAATTTTAAGGCATTTATGGCATAGAAAAAGAGAAATATGATTTAGAAATATACAAATATGACTTGATATTTCATATGTCACTTTTGCCATGCATCTCAGTTACTGGTAACAGAGGATATTAATAATATATGATCACATGACTTAATCATGGTTGGGTGAGTCATAGGGGAAAGGTGTGTCACTGAGTAAACTCCCCTAGTTAAAAATCTTAAACCATTGAACTCCTGTATGGATAGAAACAGTACATTTCTTTAGTGATTCAGTATCATTTGTACTAAGAAAAAGTTCAAGTTTTGTCCTGCACCTGTTTAATTACCCTACACCCAGCTAAACGTTCAGTTGAATGCAGAAGTTGAATTCACTGCATCTACACAGTGCATCAAATACTAAAATATAGTTTTACAAGAGTCAGGATGCGTATTTATTAATATTTTAAACAGCTTGATGTGTGAAAAATCACAACAGAAACTTGTGTAGGCTTTTTCTCCAGTGCGCATGCGCCATTTTGACAGTACATCTGACGTGATGACGCACCCGAGAGAACCAGGAAGCGCTCAGCCTTTGTTTTTGTCCGTCTGCAGTGCTCTCATTTTCCACAAGAACCGTGTCGTTTCCGCGGGCCCAAATGGCGACGTTTATTTCTGTCCCGTTGAAGAAGTCCTCGGAGGTTGACCTTGTTAAACCGTTGTCAAAATTTGTCACGGCCACGTATCCTCCGGGTGAGGAGCAGGCGGAGTATTTGCGCGCCGTGGACGAGCTCAACAAGCTCCGGAAAAGTGCTCTGGGGAGGCCGCTGGACAAACACGAGAGCTCGCTGGAGATCCTGCTGCGGTAAGACATTGGCCTGAAGACGTTATTTTGCTGATGGAGTTTTGTAATTTGGTTATTCTGTCAGTTTCTCCATCGACAGGCCTGTGTCGTAGCTTGATCTAACGTTAACGTTATATAAATAACGTTAACTGTTAGTCTGTTTGTAGCGCATGTCAGAAGCTGTCGAAACTACCTTAATCATCCTACTTTATTTAAACGATTCCTGTTTAATGTCATTTGACAGCAGTTATAGTTTTATCAAGAGTTTAGGGATGACTTCAGAAAAAAACCTTTGTAGAAATGAATTGTTGTTACTAACGTTACCTTGTTTTTTTGTTTTTGTCACCTGGATATGGACATATGTTAATGCTATATATAGAAACACACACACACACACACACACGTAGATTTACACAAATTAATATATGTATTGTAATGTGTGGTACAGGCTAAGAATAATAACCTTATTTGTAAAATTAAAATTCTCTCACATCCATGTGATTATATAAAATAAAATAGCAAAATCAAAATGGTGATTAAAAGCATAAAACGATCATTAATGTTATCTAAAAGATACATTCATTCACTCATATAACTTATACTTTATTATAAAAACAGTAATAAAGCAAAGTGATGATCACGTTGTGCGTCAACCACCCATTTATATTACGTCACTTGCTTCCTGGTTTTGCGTGACTCAGGTGTGTCGTTTACACAGAACTCTTCAGACATTCAACTGTTAAATAATAATACACGATTTAACAAAAGTGAGGACAAAATCAATTTTTGAGTTATTTCATGTATATTTGCTGAGGCGTTAAGCTTGTTATAGTCGAGTCTTTAAGAGACTCCATTACGTCACATGTGAAGCAGAAGTAGTTTGTGTGACGTATGACTTAAAGTTTAATTTTGGGAAGTTTTTATAATTGGATACACATTACACACTATTATATCTATCTTGAAACCAGTTGATGATTTGCTTTGAAAGAGAGGAGGAAATGGCTGGTTAATTTGTTAAGCAAAGTCAGATTTGCTCCTCCATGCTTTCAGCACATCATTTATCTGCCCCATTTGAACCTTTTTGCCTGGAATGTTTATCGTGAATTCATTGTGTGATTGTCAGAACTCTTTGTTTACTTTATTTTCATCTAGCTTGTCTGAAAAGACAGATGGACATCACCACATAATGTTTAAAATTGGGAAGTAGTTTTCAAATGCATGACATTAGAAGCACTGGACAAACTTCTCAAATTAGGTAGTTGAGTAAAAATACAGATGCCCTAAAATAATATTGCTCATTCATTTTCAGGTTAGTTCCTTATTTATCAGGGGTTGCCACAGTGGATTGAATCGACAACTATTCCATTGTACGTTTTATGCAGTGAATGCCCTTCCAGCCACAACCCAGAACTGGGAAACACACACACGCACACACATTACGGCAAAGTTTGTTTTCCCAATTCACCTATAGTGCATGTGTTTGGACTGTGGGGGAAACCGGAGCACCCGGAGGAAACCCACACCAATGTGGGGAGAACAGGCAAACTCCACACTGAAACGGCAACTGATCCAGCTGATTAGCAGGAGCTATACTGAAGACCTAAGACAGTGGTCACCAAACTTGTTCCTGGAGGGCCGGTGTCCTGCAGATTTTAGCTCCAACCCTAATCAAACACACCTGAACAAGCTAATCAAGGTCTTACTTGGTATACTTGAAACATCCAGGCAGGTGTGTTGAGGCAAGTTGGAGCAAAACCCTGTAGGGACACCGGCCCTCCAGGACCAGGATTGGTGACCCCTGACCTAAGAGATCCATGTTGAGCAGGGGTGTCAAACTCGATTCCTGGAGGGCTGAAGCCCTGCACAGTTTATTTCCAACCCTGCTCCAACACGCTTACCTGTACAAGCCTGAAGGACTCAATTAGTTTGATCAGGTGTTTAATTAGGGTTGGAACTTTGGTTTGACACCTGTGATGTAGAGCTTTAAATACATAAGTTAAAACTTTTAAATCAAATCTCAGTTGATGGAAATATTTTTTTGACCACCAGTCTTAGTTTTTGTCTGCTAAAATATCTACTAAAATTTATTATGATTTTTAAAAATGTATTAAATATTTTTTTCAATTGATGGAAATGTTTTTTTTTTTTTTTTTTTTTTTACTAATTGTTTTAGTCTTAGTTTTGTCTACTAAAATCTCAAAATATATAAAATTTGGGATTTTTAAAACAATATTTTGTGAAAAAATGTTTTATTATACATTTTTTTAGTTGACTTAATTTTTTTAAACTAAAGCTTTAATATAGTTTTTGTCTACTAAAATATCTACTAAATTTTTTTTTTTAATTTTTTAAATATTTGTGTTTTGTTTTTTTTATAATTTTTTCATGATTATTACATTTTTTTTTTATAACTGTTGTTTAAATTATTTTTTAAGTATTCTTACTAGTTGACTGAAGTGTTTTTTTTTTTTTTTTTGACCAACAGTCTTAGTGTTTGTCTTCTAAAATACTAACTTTCTGTCCACCACTGAGAATTGTAGATTATTTCCACAGTCACGGTCTGCATTTCATTACTGCTGTAATTCAGTGGAGGTAATGTAGCATCTGGGCCTTGCGCCATCTGCAGAGTGAATGAGAGCCATGTGTTGCTATAGGATTACACTTTTTTTGTTTTGTTTGTTTGCTGCTTTGTATCCATGCCGAATGGTCAAGATGAATGGCCTGCTTTGTAGCTACTAGTTAAACGGGTGTTTGGTTTGTATGACGAAGGCCTCTTGGGCACTCCGTCAGTGGTTTTCCCCCCTTCACGCCATCTTCTTTTTATAACTCCGGGACGCAGGGAATGGCAGATAGAGAGCATATGTGGAGCAGAGATGAGTGGAAATGCTCCTCTCTATATTCAGGAAGGAAGTGTTTTTGTGATTGGTGTCACTAGTTTTCTGCGTAACAATGAGGTTGAGTAACATCTGTAACGTCACTTGCTTCTTGTTTACAGACTGGCGGTCACATGAGAGTGCTGTCACGCCTAAATCAATTGTGTCATTTATATGACGGTGCATATATGGTATGGTACGGCTATTAGTGCAGCTACAGTATTTTCTATAACATTTTTTCTTCTGGACAAAGTAAAAGCAGTTTTGAATTTTTTAGAAAGCAATTTAAGGTCAGTATCGTTAGCCCCCTTATGCAGTTATTTTTTTCGATAGTCTACAGAACAAACCACTTTTATACAATGACTTGCCTACTTACATTAACCTGCCTGATTAACCTAGTTAAGCCTTTAAATGTCTCTTTAAGCTGAATACTAGTATCTTGAAAAATATCTAGTCAAATACTCTGTACTGTCATCATGGCAAATATAAAGAAAATTTTCTCCATTAAACAGAACGTGGGGAAGAAATATTCAGGAGCGCTACTAATTCTTTTTTTTTTGTAATTAATTTTTTTTTTTTGTTCAACAGCCAAGAACAAAGAACACACTTCACACTACACATACATATGATACATGTTACGTAATCAGTTACGTACACCAAGACAATTCAACAAAGTTGTTGTATTAATTTATGCTTGTAATTTATTATATTTTATGCAGTTCCACTCCCTAGTATCTATGTAAAGTTATGAATTCTTCCCAAATAGTTATTTATATCATCTTGTGGATTTATATTCGTAGTGCAATATATATCACAGAAGAACTCAATATCGCAATGTTGTTTTTTCCAATATCGTACAGCCCTATCGAATGGAAAAAACATATTATTATATTATTATATCATATTACGCTCTATTTTAATTTTTCATGCTGCCATAAAATACGCTATTTATATTTACGGTAATACATATTTATGCAATATTACATACCATTACTAATATGCAGACAGAAACATGAATAACAGCATCATGAGAAAGTTGCAATCTTGAATGTGCAGCGTTTATATTTTGCATTTTATTTAACATTATTTATACGTTGAGCCTTTCAATATTAGTTTTAAAGAGGTGTTTTATATTTTGTTCATCAAATTTTAAAATATTTATCATTGATCTAATCGAAGGATCTTTTATGATCCTTCAATCAGATCACAGTCCAAAGACATCGGTTATAGGTAAATTGGATAAACCATGTTTGCATCTAGTGTATGTGTGTGCGTGGGTGCGCGTGTGCGTGCGTGAGTGCGTGTGTGAGAATGTGAATGTGAGAGTGTATGGGCATTTCCCAGTACTGGGTTGAGGCTGGAAGGTCATACGCTGTGTAAAACATATGCTGGAATAGTTGGCGGTTTATTCCGCTGTGGCGACCCCTGATAAATAAGGGACTAAGCGTAAGAAAAAATAATGAATATGAATAAGAATTTTAAACGTGTGGTCAGTTTGCCAGAGGTGGGTTGCAGCTGGAAGGGCATCCGCTGCATAAAAACGTGCTGGATAAGTTGGCGGTTTATTCCTCTGTGGCGACCCCGGATTAATAAAGGGACTAAGCTGAAAAGAAAATGAATGAATGAATGAATAAATGTACATGGGGTCAGTATGTATACGATCAATCGATTGAATTTACAGAAGTGGTAATATATCATGATAAATATCATTATCATCACTGATATGAGAATTGTTGTTGCCCAGCATTATTGTCATTGTTTTAAACTAAAAAAAAGAAACTAAAAAAATAAAATAATTCCCTCACTTTTAATTTTAACAGTTGTTGTTCTCTCTCTTTTTCTCCCCTCTAGATATTATGATCAGCTCTGTGCAATCGAACCCAAATTTCCCTTTCCAGAGGTATCTGTCATTCACTGGCACTGACGTGTCCTGTAATAACAATAATTGATCATAATATACTGAGCATATGCATTAGTGCCTGTAACTAATACCTAACTATTTTTGTTTGTTTCAGTTATGTCTAACATTCACATGGAAAGATGCTTTTGATAAAGGATCTCTTTTTGGAGGCTCGGTCAAGCTTGGTGAGTTGATGCATCATTCAAAACAAGAGCAGAATGTGTGCATATAAACAAACATGTGCCAGATTCATTTAAAGGGATAGTTTACCCAAAATTAAACATTTCCTCACTATTACCTCACACTTAGGTAGTTTTAAATTTTGATGAATTTCTATCAGCTATTGAACACAAAATAAGATATTTTGAAGAATGTTGAGTGGGGAAAAGCAGCAGTTAACATCAATAATAAGAACAAAAAAAATACTATGGAAATAAATGGCTGTTTCTTGTTTTTCTTCAGCTTATATTTGTGTTTTTTACAGAAGAAAAACACTTTTGTAACAAGTATAGGATGAGTTAATAATGGCAGATTTTTAGGTGAACTGTCACTTTAGTTTGTCTATGCCATGTGTTGTTGTTAGTAATATTATATCTACTTTTATTTTGCACAACGAATGTGACTTATGGGTAAATTCTTTTGAACCATTTGGACTTGTTAGATACTTTACTGCAGATATAACTCGAAAGAAGGCGTATAAAGATTTTCTATATGGTGCAATTAAATGTCAATATCTCTGTTCTCCATATTCAGAGCAAACCTGCACCTCATCCAGTATAAAAAGAAAGGCTTTAGTTTGAGATTCCTTTTTATAAAAAGCGTATTAATGTGTGCATATTAATAATGTTCTCTAATACTAACATAACTTACTCTTCACAACTCTTGACCCATGCTTTTTAATTGTTGCATATTTCCTTATGACATTTTACAACTCAAATTAAGGATGTTCATTTTGTGCTTCTGTCATTTTGGACCCAGATATGTATGGAGCATCATTTTATTAGTTTTGTTTAATAATAATAAAAGCCATTAAAATTTGTTTAGTCTTTTTAGGCTTGATTTTGCTGATTAAAATGTGGCAAATCCAGTGGAATTGGGTACAACCGTTGCATGACTTTTTTCCACCTGAAAGTGAAAATTTATACAAGTAAATTTCATTTATTTTAATTTTTTGTTAATGAGCAATTTCGAGTTAAGTAAACTAAAAGAAAATGAACTTCATTCATTGTTAAAAAAAAATTAATTAATAATACATTGAGCCTTCTCTTCATATTGAACACATTTGAGACTGAATTGTGTTGATAGAAATGTGGCAAACCTAATAGAACTGGGTACAAGCATTGCATCAGTTTTTATTTTCATCCGAAAGTGAAACTGTATACAAGTAAGATTCATTTATTGTGATAAGGAAATTCAATTATTTTTTATTTAATTTATTAAATATATTTATTTATTCGAAACAATCAAATTTAGACTGTTTATGAGCCATGATGAGTTTAATAGACTCAAATAAAATGAACTATTAATTCCAGTAAATCTGTGATATAATCAAATAAATTCTTACACTGTTAAGAAAAATTGTGTATCAGTTTTTACTGCTTATGAGATGCACTGTAGTTTCAGTTGAAAAAATATAAGTGACTATTTTATAAAACAAGCATTGACTTGTTATTCACTGAAGAATATTTAATGTGGTCATCTAATTGCTTCATCTGCATTCACACTACTGGAGTCTGGACACGAGCAAAATTTCAACATGCACCACAGCAGTTCTAATATTAAGTCACATTCTATTTGCATATAATTTATAAACATAATTCAAAGCTACAATTCTGCATATTTTTGCTAAATTTTGCATTTTACAAATGTACATTGTCTAAAAGTGTATTATGATCACTCCATGAGGCAATGCAGTCATTTGCATAGCATTTGTCAGATTATTTTGGTAATCTTTATTCCAAATTCGACCATTTGCTTTCACTCTGAAACAGTAGTCCTTCTATGATGATATCAGTTTGACAGATTAGGTGAAATGTTTAGCCACATCCTTCATTTGTTAGTTTGCTGCACGTGAATGATGAGAGGCAGGGCATAAATAAACCCCACCCCTTACTCAATATTCTATATATATAAGTTAATATATGTCATGATACTGAAATACAAGTCTGCAGCAACTTCCATTATATGTTTTATGTTGTTTGTGTTTCAGCATTGGCGAGTCTGGGCTATGAGAAGACGTGTGTGTTGTTTAATGTGGGCGCTCTGGCCAGTCAGATCGCTTCCGAGCAGAATCTCGACAATGATGAGGGACTCAAAACTGCCGCCAAGTTCTACCAGGTTTAAGTCTGAACTTATTATGCTGCTTTTTACAAGATGTTAAATAAGTCTCTGATGTCCCTAGAGTGTTTGTGTGTGTGTGTGTGTGTGTGTGTGTGTAGTTTCAGCTCAAATTACAACACATATATTGTTTATATATATATAACTCAACACATATATAACTCTCTAAAACTGCCCCTTTTAGGCTGTCAGTTTACATTAGTGATGCACCGATGCCGATACTTTTATCGGATATCGGTTCGATACTGCATATATTTGTTTCTGAATCACGTTGCGCTGTGTCTGTTAGATCAGCAGATCGTATTCGCAGCACTGGAGTAGAGAGGATTATTTCCTGCTCGTTATGCACAAAGTAGGCCTTCCTGAAATGTTTAAATAGAAAAGGCTCAATAATACATTGGACAGATCCTCAACACACTGATTTATTCCCTTTGAGCTGCTGATTTGGAAATGTCCGCTGCGCTGACTGATTGTATCCTTGCTCATAGTATACTATATTATTTGTACATCACTTTAAACAAACTGTACATTTAGAGAATGAAGCGCGGCTGGAAAACAGTGTTTTCGTCACTTCAGGAGGAGGCATGAATTAATTTAGCTAAACTGCGACATGGTCATCTTGCGGAAATATTACCAACTATTCATCAGGTAATGTTTTCCCCCCTCTCTCTCTCTCTCTCTCTCTCTCTCTCTCTGTTGGTAAAGCGCTGTCAAATATTTTTCCTCCATGGACCTCCATGGCACAGCGTATCGGCCTACGGCAGCTGGATTAGTCTAAAAGACGCAGTACTTTTTGATGTTGGGTCTGTTTTAGTTCGGATCATATTCTCACCACAAACTAATTGCTCCAGGGTTTGTTTGAAAGCGTACCGAGACCACCTCTTCAAGCAGGTCTTGGTACGCTTTTTTGGTTCGCTTTTGGTGCGCACTTGAGTACGATTGCTGCATTCACACCTGCCCAAACGAACCGCATCAAGAGGGAAAAACGAACTCTAGTGCGATTCAACCAAACTAAATAAGGCAAGTGTGAAGGGACCCTAAATCAATAGAGTCGTTACCAGAAAAATTAATTAGCCTTATATAGGCCACTCTGAAACTGTGAATATTTCACTGTCATTTTATTTATATCAATATTTTCAGACCTGTTTGTGTTTAGTCTGCGTCAAACCTGCAGGAAAATATCAGGCTTTGCTAAATTATTGCTGATTATTTGTCCAACAATGTCAATAGTGGTATATTGCAGATTTAAAAAAAAAAATTCTTAATATTAAAAAAGGAAACTGGACCACATAAGCTGGACCACAGCAGATCAATGTCATAACGAATGCTCAAATAATGGAGCTTAGTTTACACACACTAATTTTTTTAGTTCGATTGTTCTGTTTGCCATTTATAGGCCTATAGGTTGTTTTTGTTTACCAAAGAAGGTGTATTATTTGAATTTAGCACCAGAGCTATAAAAACTGTAACTGGGAAAAAAAAACGTCACAGTATCAGGACAGATCTGTATTAATTGATACTTAGAATTTTGGCATCAAGATCTGATCGGCAAAAAAAAAAAAAAAATGGTATCGGTGCATCCCTACTTTAAATTCGAATAAGATTGTGTGATTTTCAAAAGAGGGTGGAGCTACAAATGCCTGTGTGTCAGCTTAGTGGCAGATTCAAAAACAAGACTAACCTCATAAGCTAATGAGGGAGAGATCATCACTAATGGGCGGGGCTTTCCCCCTCTGATGACATGTACAAAGGGAGAATGTCAATCAAAGTGTTTCTGCAGGCTGTTTTGATCAAGTGTGATTATAAAAAAATAATTGAATCAATTTTTACCATTAGATGATGGTTATATTTACAGACTGTTGCCACACAACTGTGTTTAAACCCCTTTAAAAAGTGATTTTTGCATAATAGTTCCCCTTTAAATCTTTCTAAAACACGTGTAAATGTTTAATTTCCTCTCATTCTCAAGCAAATTCTGTCTCTTTTCAGCTGGCGAGTGGAGCGTTTGCTCATATAAAGGACACCGTTCTGTCTGCCCTGAATCGAGAGCCCACCATGGACATCTCTCCCGAAACAGTGGGCACGCTCAGTCAGATCATGCTCAGTCAGGCTCAGGAGGTCTTCGTTCTCAAGGCCACTTCTGGTGCGTCTGTGTTTATGTTTAGCCGTTTTTGTGTTTATAGATGACACACAATTTTAATTACTTGGTGTTTTATATCACAGACAAGATGAAGGACGCCATTGTCGCTAAGCTTGCCAACCAGGCGGCAGATTATTACGGAGATGCTTTTAAGCAATGCCAATACAAAGAGAATCTGCCTAAGGTATGTACAGCTGCTAGTACACATGACATACGGTTAACATGAGGAAGATGATCCACTAGGGGTCACTAGAGACTGTTTAATATAAAGATGCCCACACACTGCATGCAACAATCACTGTTGGTGTGTCTGTATACTTGCATTTAGGGCTGGGCAATATGGCAGAAGATTTTAGAAGATTTAGTCAACATACAATAAAAGTTTCACTACATCATGTTTTATTATCATTTTCTTTATTAACCATTAGGCTAAAAAGTTATATTCTAAGTGCACCTTCGAGTAAGATTTCAACAATATGTAAATGTAAAAACAACCAATTCTGAATAAAATATGAAGGTAAAAATGTTCTTAAATATATCCTGTGTATTCAAAAATAATGCAAAACTAAAAATGTATCTATTTCTTTGCCAA